AAGGTTTATAATTAATGTATTTCGCTTGAGAGTGCTAAATGTGCCTTTGTCGCATTTAAGGGCACAAGAACTGGAATTGTGTGCCATTGAGTCTCGCATAGGAACAGTGCTAACTTCACCTCTCGCTATGTTTATATAGGAACCAAAGCTGGAGGTAAAAAGCCAGAAAGCAAGCCCCCCGGGCCTGAGCCAGGTCAGTCATAAGCTTAAGTAACCCACCTCGTTTGTACAGTGTCCCCCTCCAGGACAATAAAAACCGGCAACAACTCAACCATAGCGGATGAAGAGTTTCCTTCACTATGCTACGTTTCATTTCAATGAAAAACAGTTGAGCGTTCGTTGTTCTTTCTATCCAGGTATAAAGGCTAGCAACGCTATTGCAAGGTAATAGCGTCATCTGAGTAGCTGTCTCTGAAAACACTTTTTGATTCATTGTCTTTTTACAGCAGCACCTCCACGTCCACCTCCATCTCCTGGACCTGGCCGTCCCCGACCTGGTAAGTTTTTAGCGTTTTCAAGTCATTGGCTATCATTTCGGACATAAGCTTGATACGATAAAAACTAAGCCGGGATGTCTAATAAGGTTTCGAGGAGGTCTCCAAAGGCGCTGGGTATTAGGTATCGCAGTTGTGAAATTTTTAATTGATCGTCGGAGGTAAACCTGGATTGCATTGGTTTTGCATGTCTTTTTGGCTTTCTAATTGGTCCAGAAGACTTGGGACTCTTAAATGGTGAATAGGGTAACTACCAATAAACAACTAGAGATATCATTTGAACGAAACACAGACAAAAGGAAACCTCGACAATCTAAGAGAAAAGTAAATAAGAGCAAACGACGTCACGGGAATAATAATCTTACTCTTTTTATGGCATTTTGCAGGTGGTCCGCCAAACGGTAATTGTATCAGAAAAGTAGTAAAGTTTGGAAGACTGCTAAAAATAATCCAGAGTAAGTGAAGATAAAATTATTTGTTTAATATAATAATTTCCTCCCTAGACTTGACTTCGGGCCGGGATTCTTACATTCTATTTGTCTTATCCTCTTAACCCCAGAGGACCTGAGACTTCTCCCTGTGACACAGATATGTCTTCTTGCAATCAGGTTATGAGGAAAGACAAGCTTACTAGCTCAAGGGTGTTATGTTGAACACCAAACTACCTTGTCCAATTTTCGATGAAATTTAAGAGAGTAATACGGGAGAATTATTAATTGGATCTTGGATAGTAAATGGTTAAACCTTTTTTTTTCTGCTTGAAGTCTGCAGGAATCCCAATGATGACAAAACAACAAGCACAACACAGGTCAGTCTTAAAGGTTATGGTAGTAAATGAATAATTGAGCTGCCCGTTAAGGCTTCTGCCGAGGTATTCGTATTTATGATCCTGTCATATGATTGGTTGATAGCGCCGAGGGTTAGGCTGGGCTGTGGTTCATCCCTGAACAAAACTATTTAATAGTAACTCTTCTTTTACGTAGAAGCATTTATGGAAATCGTCGACATACTTTAGAATACATAAATCGCTTCTTTAATTTAGATATAGATCTACCGATAATCAGCGTCAAAATCAGTTGGCACATCATGTTTGAAGAGTGGTATTTATGTGCAGAGTAACACTACTGTTTCTACCTCATACTAAATCATTGACAAGACCCCCCCCTCCCTCATTTAATATTGCCTGTATGTAGCTAAAAGGTCATGGAGACACAACATTTTTTGGGGGGGAGGGGGCGAATAGGTTAACGTAACAAGGGCAAAAGATAAATTGAAATAAAAGGGGTTGAAAAAAATCAATGTGTCAACAATTTTGTCGCTGATTGCAGGTTAAAAAAAAAGCTACAAAAAAAACAATAACGAATTTTTTTGGAGGGAGGAAAGCCAATCTTACATCATTTTATACTAAGTCCTTATTCCTCTCCTTTTTTAGACCCAAGTGAATTCAAAGGAAACATGAAACGGGGGAACGTACTTGATAATGATGATGATGCATAAATGAATAAAATTGATTGGGGAAAGTACAAACGGGATATCTCTTGCGTCACGCTGCATCCTTGAATTATAAAGAAGAATAATGCACTTAATATATTAACCTTAACCATGTATAGAATTCTATGCACGTTCGCTGCCCACATAATAGCCCAGATATTTAATTCACTATTAGCACTTCTGTTTCCTCAGAAATCAGAGAGGAGGGCAGGGGTTAAAATGTAAGCATTTTCTCATCATATTCAATCGTTTGTAATAGATAAAAGCCTTTCATCGACCGAGTAGCCTAAGGAGTTTAAAAGCTAGAAACCAAAGGCTTTCTTACGGCTGGCCACATATTCGTAGTAAAAGGAAAACACACCAGGAGTAAGAGATCTACGAGATACTTCAGGAAAAAAATGATGAAGTGGGACAATGATATGGATGTATTAAGATATGAGATGTGAAGACTTATTTGAAAGCTCTCGATTCTCGGCCCCTTTGACTGAAATAAACATTAGTTCGCTTATTAATTAGTTCTAATAGTTTTGTGATTGCTAGTATAGCAAGGAAGACCAGAAACAACACGACTTGTCGTCGAATTATATCTGTAAACCGAAAACGATTGGGTTCGAACGGTTCTAGGTTAAGACCAGGTGGTCAGAACTGAATATGTCTCTAAGCTACAATTATCTTTAATACGAGTTCTTAACGTCTAAACCAATACCAGCAATAAAGCACTTAGATACTTATTTCCTAAGTCAGATATCTTGACCTTTTCAATTAGAAGTCGGCTGAGAAGGTTACGGTGTTACATTTAGAGGCACGAATATAAGGCAAGATGGCTTTACTTGAGAAGCAATGGCTGTTGCTATCGTTAGGGATATTTCTTGCACACGCTCGGCCGAAAGGTTTGTTTTATTTTCCCCTTTTGCTGCTTTTGTTTTGATTGTATTATCAAATGAATCAATTAGAAATGACACTAATAATGTCTATATATTGTGAACAAAATAGCACACACAAGTTTTCAGGGGTGCTTGGTAGGCGACAGTTTCCACTGACTCAGTACGTGACAGAAAATCATGAAAGTGAACGCCACATTTTATGATAAAATTGTTATTTTAAGTCCATAAGGTAACCCTTTGAACTAAAAATAATTTTAGCCAAACGCACGGTATTGTTGAATAAAACTGTCACTCAAGGATGGAAGAAAGACTTTCCTATTAGTTAAAACAACAGGTGGCTGGTGAGGTAAAAAGAACTTGACATGGATTCTATTTTAGCTTTTGCCTCCATAAAACACAGCACAATCACTGCTCGATGATTTCATAAATAGATCTTCCTCAGGGATAACAGAGAATGATTTAAGTTGGAATTAAATCAAAGCCTAACAATAAATCGACATCCCATGTTACTCGACCAAAGCACCGATAACGATTGCTTGTTGCAATTCAGAACGTCAAATGGCCGAATAAATGAGAAGTCACCCAAAGATTTATCCTTTTCTCCAACTTTAATGAAGTAGACCAATTTTTTTCTTCTTAATATATTCCCAATTTTCAGTTGCGCAGTGAGTTTCTCTTTATCACTCACAGGCCGTAGAGGAGTATTTTGTTTGTTTGTTTGTTTGTCTGTATTTTCTGTTCGACGTTTAAATACAAGTTGCAAACTAGAGGGAGCTGCAGTCAATCAGCTAAAATTTCATGGAAATCAGTTTAAGTGTCTTTTATGAACTGAAAATTTCCAGCATCTCTTTGTTGTTTATCTCTCAGTACCCGATTACAGTGACGATGTACCCGAACTGTACGAGGGAGACATGGCACTAACTAAACAACAGGTCAAAATTCTTAAGCCGTCACGGCTAACCTTCAACAAAGCAGCGGACTTGAATCAAGAGGCTCAAACGAGAGGCGCCATAGAGAACGTGCGTCAACTCTGGCCAGACGGAATCATCCCATTTGAAATAAGTTCACAGATTGGTACCTGACCAATTATTTTTCTCTCATCAGTCGCTAGTCTAGAGCTTTATAAGTATCCTTAAATGGATTCATGGTTGCATTTGGCGCTAAATCTTAACCGAAACCTTTCGATCCTCCGGTCTGATCCACCACTATTTCAGGGCTCCCATTGATAAAATACAGCTTTTTGCATCTGAAGGGGCTACCCTGAGCGGTATAAATCAATAAAGGTCCTATGCGTTGCCTTTAATTCTTTCAACATATGTATTTGCTCTTGTAAACGTTTCTCATTCTTATGATTAGACGCTAGAGGAAGGCAACTGATTAGAAACTCGATGAAAGATTGGATGGATCATGTTCCCTGTATTCGATTTAAACAGAGAGAGCAAGAGAAAGGATACATCGAGTTTGTTTACAAGGAGGGGTAAGTAAAAGGTCAAATTAACATTACGAAAGTAGCTCCAGACAGAACCGCTACTTTGTCGGTTTGAAAAATTTTCCAAAATATAGATATTTACTTCTTAAAGTAAAAGTACGTATCGTTTTATTGTTAAACTTTAAATTGTAATTACCCGGTGTTATCTCTACTTTAAACAGCTGCTGGTCGTATGTTGGTCGTATTGGTGGACGTCAAGAAGTCTCTATTGGACGGTTCACGGAGTGAGTCATAAAAAGGCGCGCTTAAGCTGCATCTCCACTATGAAACTACTGTTTGCGATTTACATAAATCCCTCTTAACTAGCCTAATTGAATGGAGATTATGATAAGTTTACTCTTCCCTGTGCCAGTCTAGTCTGATTGAAATACGCATTTTTCATCCGCGTATCAGACACATACCAGAATTACTCACGCCCTAATGAACACTTCCAGACGAAAGACGCAGCCTTTCAAACTGCAGTGGCTGCTTTGCATCTCTACATTCGTTGATTATTATCTCAATCTCCTGTTATCAAATATTTCCGGGTTTCTGGTTCCTCGTACAGTATCTCTATTGCAAACCAGTTTGTAACGTTTAACTTATTTTGTGGGAAAGAGTCATTTGTTATGCTCATAAATCATACTTAAGAATCAAACATCTTGGGAAATGAAAATTTTCAACCCCCCTTCAAATTTTGCATGCAGGTAGGCACTCAGGCGGGATGCACAAAAATCCCCTTTTTAAAGGTCGCAGCACTCTTGTTGCCATGGTAACAACGGCTGCTTGTTCGGGGCCTGAGGCCTCCTTTTTATACAAAACGTCGCAAAAAAGAGTGAAATGTTTATTTCTCTATCTCAAGCTAAATACAACATTACAAACTGGCACTTCTACCGTACATAGTAACATCATTTGTCTCGGTACAGATTCGGTCATTTTTGTTGTCGGGTAAAACAGGGAAAACGTTTATCTGAATTTCTCCAAAAGTACACCTATTCTGGAACTGAAACTACCCACCTAGCTGGTTATAATATTCTAGTTTATAAATATGTAAAAATCTCTGCGGGCCTGCCTCTACTTTTTATAGAGGCAATTCGCGAAAAAAGCTCAAAATCAGATATTGCATAATTTGGCGATGTTTACATCTAATGTTCTCAACAACAAACGCTTCAGATAAATGAAACGTGCGAGGCCTTGAAAGAATGTTATCTTATGAGCAATATCCCGAAGAGAAATCTCACCTCTGGTTGTCATCTTTTAAAAAAAAATTGATCAACCTTCAAGGAGGACAACTCGACGTAACTACAAACATAAACCTCAGATTCCGAGTGCTGCTCCTTCTTTCATGAGAATTGGAGCAATCCGAAATCCTCTGAAGATACACTGTTATACTTGTAAGTCATTTGAAACATGTTGAAGTCGGCGGATCTACACGAAACTGTCCTCACACCGGTCATTTGTCATATACATGTATGTTATCACGACGCTGTATTTCTCCGTGAAGTTTCCATCGGTCGCTCTAAAGAAGACGAGAAGTGGATATTTTTCTTATATCTTAGCAGATTTCCGCTTTCTGAAGTAAAAACAACCAAAAAAAAGAAGAAAACTTAGACTGAACGCTCGTAAACATTGAGAAGCGGAGCTCGCATTTTTTTTCCCGCACGTCTCTTCAACAAAACTAAAGCCCCTACTATGGATAAAGTGCGTGGTAATATTAATGGATTTTTCATTCGCAACTTCTCCGTGTCCGTGTAGAGGACTGATTATAAGATAGTGCCCGTGGTACAGTTACCCGCGCATGCTAAAAGTAGCACCTTGTACGGTCGGTGGTACGGTCGTACAAATTTTTTCGGCTTGATGGGTTACTACTATTTTGTATAATTATGGGGCTACGCTCTGCGAACTCCGCTATAAGTCATAACTTGTCAGCGGCAGTACCACATGTAAAACCCAGTTGCAATTGCAATTTGAACGACGTAGGCATCTCCTTACAAAGAGCAGGTTCGGGCAGTTATCATTTCCTTATGACAGGTACCAATACATTTCGAATCATCTGAAAACTGTCAGAAAACTGTTAGGAAATTTGCATGAGATATGATGAGGAGAGACTTATCACCGCCGCAGTGCAATCGAATCAATCAATGTTTCCTTCCATGTCTTGATAAAGAAAAAAGTCATAACAAAGTTCGAAATAAACGATTCAATGAAATCATAATGTCATAATTCCACCTTTCAAACAACTTATTATCCACACGTAAATCGCAACTTGTCACTTGAACGAAACTCCCCATGGTTAATATGTAATCTGGATTGCTTCATGTCCTTCAGGAAAAAGTACAGCGATTTGATCACCATTATTTTCCATACTTTTCTCCCGGATATCTTTTACAAGCTTAAAGACAGATGAATATAGGAAGTCAAAGGTCTCTTTAATTTTCCTCTGAAGTGGCCGGCTCACCAGAGAGAAAAGGAGATCGTTCGGTCCAATAACGTTGGTCTGTAGAGATTATCAAGCTAATAACTAAGAAGATTGTGCCCTTTGGTTCATCAGTGACAGCATTAATTATTTCAAATCTGTATTTCTCGGTCGAAGCGACACTAAAAATAGTTTCTTTGTAATTTTGTAAGCACCTTCTATAGCATTTTATTGTCAAGGGAAATAAATCTCAAGGCTCAAAGCCAATATAACTTTCGAGCACGTGAAAGACTCCCTGAAAAAAGCTAAATTTTTGGAAATTGATTGTAATGAAATCCTTGTTCCGTTTGCTGTACTGCAGGGATACTGAGTAGTTCAAAATCTCCACTTGGTAATGATTTTCGCGCGAGTGGTCCAAATTGCTCTTGTGGCGACTGGGTTTTACATGTATTACCGCCGCTGACAAGTTGCGATTTCTGCTCTGAGATTCTCAGTGTTTACGGGCGTTCAATCAAGGTTTTTTTCTTTTTTTGGTTGTTTCTACTTAGAATGCGCGGAAATCTGCTGATATATCGAAAAATGTCCATTTCTCGTCTTCTTTGGGGCGACCGATGGAAACTTCATGGAGAAATACAGCGTCACGCTATCGTGACAACGTACATGTTTATGACAAATGACCGATGTGAGGATAAATGAATAAAGGGGTAAGTTTCTTAAGAAACTGTGGTGCTGCGTCGGTAGGAGAGTAAAGCAGGTAATTTAGTGTTAACAACTGAGTTGAAAACGTAAATTAGCCACCGTAAAGGATAAAAAAGCTGACTTTTCGAGCGTTAGCCCTTGGTCAGAGCGATTGGAGGAATTGTGGGTTGTGTGTGGATATCCGGTGTGAGGATAGTTTCGTGTAGATCAGCCGACTTCAACATGTTTTAAATGACATACAAGTATAACAGTGTATCTTCAGAGGACTTCAGATCGCTCAAATTCTCATAAAAGAAGGTGCAGCACTCGGAGTCTGTATATGTTTGTAGTTACGTCGAGTAGTCCTCCATGAAGGTTGATCAATTTTTTTTTTAAAAGATGATAACCAGAGGTGAGATTTCTCCTCGGGATATTGCTCATAAGATAACATTCTTTCAAAGCCTTGCATGTTTCATTTTTCTGAAACATTTGTTGTTGAGAACATTATATGTAAACATCGCAAAATTATGCAATATCTGATTTTTGAGCTTCGCTCGTGAATTGCCCTGATAAAAAGTAGAGGCAAGCCCGCAGAAATTTTTACATATTTAAAACTAGAATATTATAACCAGCTAGGTGGGCAGTTTCAGTTCCAGAATCGGTGTACTTTTGGAGAAATTCAGATAAATGTTTTCCCTGTTTTACCCGACAACAAAAATGACCGAAACTGTACCGAGATGAACAATCTATTGGTGTGTTCAAATTCACTCCCAGGGAAAATTGAATCAATCAATATGAAGATGATTGATGTTAATATGTATGGTAGAAGTGCCAATTTGTAATGTTGTATTTAGCTTGAGATAGAAAAATAAATATTTCACTCTTTTTTTTGCGACGTTTTTGTATGAAAATGAGGCCCCAGGCCTCGAACAAGCAGCTGTTGCTACCATGGCTGCGACCTTTAAAAAGGACATTTTTGTGCATCCCCCCTGCCTAACTGCATGCAAAATTTGAAGGGGGATTGAAAATTTTCATTTCCCGAGATGTTTGATTCTTACAGAGACTTGTTCTTAATTGTTATTTGAAACAAATTTTGCAAATTGCCCTGCAATTTGAATTTGATAACTCTAAATTTACTGAGCAGCGAAATTCTGTGAATTAACAGCTGTAGCCCTAACTGATAAGTTAAAAAAAACACTTAAACGTGGATACAAATTTCAACTTGTCAAAGGGATCCTCCTTGTGTACAAGGAGCAATCACTCACGAGTTAGGACACGCCATCGGATTTTTCCATGAACAGAATCGACCTGACAGGGATCATTACGTCAAAATCAACTGGCAGAACATCGTCAGTGGTCAGTATGAACGAGTTTGATTATACTATTATGACCATATATGGAGAAATGCGCTTATCATTATGAAATAGATTCCATTTTGTTAAGGATTGGTGATCCTAAACTGTACCCACGTAGAGGATAATACAACCCATTTGCCTTTGCAGTAAAACAGTGCATGGTAAAAATTTTGTCATTAACTAAACCGATTAATTTCATTGTACAAGTCGCCAAGATAACCTTACGTCTCAGTTTTATTTTTTTTCCCTTGATGAAAAAAACTGTGATACATACATGACCCCAAATAGACTAGGGGGGGATGACTTGGCACACAGCGCGTTGTGCTGAGCTTAAAACAAAGGTTTCTTTTTCTACTTTTTTTTTGTTGTTTTGTTGTTTTTTTTGTTTTTGTGGTGGATGTTGACTCAACCAGTTATATCTATGCTACAAAAGGTCGAGGTACGGTGAAGAGTTCCATCCATTTCTTTGGGCCATGATTAATTTAGTTTAAACTGGAGCACATCCCAGAGAGGAGTTGTGTCACTCAATACAAAGACGTGGCCCTTTTTGCTGGTTCCCTTTAGGGTCAGACAGAAACTTTGAAGAAGCTAAAGATAGTATGATAGACAGTCGAGGTCAGCCATATGACTACGGATCCATCATGCACTATTCCAAGTACTCAGGGAATAATCGTCCTGGACTTATAACGATAAAGGCTAAGGATCCTACAGCAGAAATTGGTCAGCGTAAAAGCCCTAGTAAAGGAGACATAACGCAAGCTCGGCTTATGTATGGCTGTGGCGGTAAGTTCACGTGACTATGTCATGTAAATCAACCCCGGCGCGTAGCTACCAGGAAAAGATCTTTTTTTCTTTAAAATAAGACTGTTACTATGACTATTATTAACAACATAAATGCTGTGCCTTTTTCTGCCAATAATTAGTATGGAAAGTTGTTTTCTTTGTTTTGTCGGTCACGTGGTTTGGGGTTTACGAGTATGGTCATGAAATTTCAAGTTCTGGTCCGTTTTTTATGACTCTTCCATTGTAAGTTTGTCAGTTCTACATATTTTCTGTCGCTGTATCGCGGAGGTGTGAAGATTTAAGGTTTATAAGTGATGTATTTTGCATGAGAGTGCTGAATGTGCCTTCGCCGCATTAAAGGATACAAGAACTCGAAATCCCTGCGACTCACATATACTTTTAGGTGAGCCTATGTCTACGTAGATTCACAATACACCATAGGTATTCTCTGATGCCGGTGCACAGAAAGTACCATTCCCTTTCCCATTAGAAACTTATATTACGTCCCATACAGATGTCATCGTTAGCATTAAGTAGTTACAAGAGTTCTTACGGTTTTAGTTTGCCTTTGCCCACTTAATTTGTGTTCCATTAAAGTCTCGCATAGGGGCAGCGCTAACTTCGCCTTTCACTATCTTTATATAGGAACCAAAGCTGGAGACAAAAAGCCAGAAAACAAGCCCCCCGGACCTGAGCCAGGTCAGTTATCAGCTTAAGTAACTCACCTCGATTTGTAGAATGTCCCCCTCCAGGACAACGAAAACGTCAACAACTCAACCATAGTGAATGAAGACTTTCCTTCACCATGCTACGTTTCATTGCAGTGAAAAACAGTTGTGAGTTCGTTGTTCCTTCTATCCAGGTATAAAGGCTAGCAACGCTATTGCAAGGTAATAGCGTCATCTGAGTAGCATGTCTCTGAAAGAAGATTACAAAACACTTGGACCCATTTATATCCTGGCTTTGGCCGTCCCCGGCCGACCTGGTTAGTTTTAAGCGATTTCAAGTAATCGGCTATCGTTTCGAAAATACGCTTGATACAATAAAAACTAAGACGGGCTGTCTCATAAGTTCTCGAGGAGGTCTGAATAGGAGGTCTGAGTTCGTTGTTATTTCTATCAAAGTATAAAGGCTAGCAACGCGGTTGCAAGGTAGTAGCTTCATCCGAGTAGCATGAAAAAAGATTGGAAATCGCTAGAATTAGATTGTAACGGAAGATTTGAAAACACTAGGACCAAATTAGGTTATCTCGTTTCCTCAATGTAAAGGAAGATTGGAAAACACTAGGACCCAATTAGATTGTCTCGTTTCATCAATGTAGCAAACGTGGCTCAATTTTGATTCTTTGTCTTTTCACAGCGGCACCTCTATATCCACCTCCTGGCCCTGGCCCTCTCCGACCTGGTTAGTTTTTTAGCGATTTCAATATAGATCTACCCATAATTAGCGTCAAAATTAGTTGACACATCATGTTTAGAAGAGTCCTATTTGTATAGGTAATCACATGATTTCGAGTGTAATTTGGGATAAATAAGCACAGGTAAATTTTTTTTAGGGCGAGTGCAATTTGTGGTCTTTGAAAAAATTAACAAGTGATTGTTTATTCCAAATTGCACGAGAAAAATCATGTGATTACGTGTTAATAATATACATGGAAAAATACGAGATGGCTTGTCATAATTAAGCATAAGCAAAGCGCGCGCATCAATTGCGAAAATAATTTATTCAAACCGTGCGTTCGGTCAAAACAACCGCGTAAGATCAAAACAATAGTATGCAATGATATCTTCACATCTTTAAGGCGCAAAAAAGTTTAAGGTCCGGCTAAACAGTTCAAGGAATTGTTCAGTCTGTGTCCGAATCACTTTCAATGAAATGGAATCGTCGTTTCCGACGTTTAACCATGTTTGTTTTTAATTTCGGCGTTGGATCGCTCGAGCAAAGTGTTAAGCTGGATCGACTAGAAATTTTCGATTTCCTTGGGAATTCCCTTCTCTAAACACCACTTTTTCCAAACCGACAACCAAAAAAAATTTTTTCCATGTATATTATTAATGAATAAAATAACACTCCTGTTTCTACCACATACTAAATCATTGACAAGGCCCTCCCCCCCTCCCCCATTTAATGTTGCCTGAATGTAGCTAAAAGTTCATGGAATCACGACACAACATTTTTTTTTTGGGGGGGGGGGGGATTGGACGACTAAGTTGAAGTAATAGGGAGCTGAAAAGGTCAATGTGTCAACAATTTTGTCGCTGATTGTAGATTTAAAAAAAAAACTAAACAAAAAAAACTACGGCCCTTTTTTCGAGGGAGGGAAGCCAATCCTACATTTAAATTTCTTTCGGGATTTTTTATTCATTCTGTTTTTGATAGGGTCTTCCCACTTTTGCATCATCACATTATGACACTGGCAGTCCACTAAAGTAGAGTTATAGAAAGACAAGCTACTCTTCGCTATTGAATTTTTTTGCTAATATGTGATG